CAGGCAAGACCCGCACCTGCATTCTAACCAAGAAGCACATAAATATTTGACTGCTACCTAATTTTAGCGATGGCGACAACACAGCGGCATGCACAGAGGCAGAGCCAAAGTCTCTAAATGTATGCTCGATCTATATGGTTTACGAGGAAGCGAATCCCCCTCCTCTTCTGACAAGACACGTCATAGACGATAGCAAGTGGAAGAAAATTGATCTGATCATCGGATGCGATGCCAATACTATCACAGTCAGTGGGGAAGCACTGACACAAATGCACGGGGTGAGTCACTTTTTAACTTCATCCTACCTACTAACATACTATTATCGGAGCCAGTTTCTTGACCTCACACAACCGTAAGATGCGCTCTATACCCGTACTTCCATTTTGTATCAGAACACTCCTTTTCTGACCGTAGATACATTCAATTCGAAGTATCTCTAAAGAACGAGCGATCAGATGCGATAAGAAACGCTAAACTCACAAACTGGTCCTCGTATTCAGATCCTATAGGTAAACTACTAGTAGACTATCCACAGCAGGGCCCAAACACAGTCGAGTACACCTCGAGTCTAATAAATAAGTTCACTGCAGCATGCGAAATCGCGCTACAGAAGTCATGCCCCATTGGGAAACCAAGGGGTAAACTCAAATCCACCTGGTGGACTGCACAAGTCAGTGAGTCAAGAAAAAAGGCCAGCACACTTTTGAATTCAGCTAGATCTCAAGGAGGGGAGCAACACTGGTGTGCATTCAAACAAAATCAGTCAGAGTATAAGAAAATACTCAGGCAGGCGAAAAGATCTTCCTGGCAGAAGTTCTGCTCTGATATAGAGAACACTTCCGATGCCGCAAAAATGCCCCCAACGCTTGGCTACCTCCAGGAGCCAGACATGTCATGGACGACTTCAAGCGAAGAGGTCTGCTTCTATGCACCCATTTTCCCAGCTCCACAAGCATTAAACCATCTCAAACGCCCCTGACTTACTATCTTATTCTGGCCCTCCACGCCCCATCAACTCAATCAAAATAAATACAGACGGTTCTAAGCTAGACAACCGCGTGAGCGGCGACGACTTTCGCGAATAACTTGGCATCAAAAAGGCGTTTAGGCTCCCAGACCACTGCAGTGTATTCCAGGCAGAAATCATAGCTATTCAAGAAGCTCTCCTTATGCTGCCAAGCCCACTCTTAGACATCAGAGAAATCTGCATGTACTCGGATAGCCAAGCGGCAATAAAATCCCTAAATGCCATTACATCGAACTCGATGTCAGTGCAGAACTGTCGTAAATCTCTTCACGAGATGACAGCACCGTTCTTAGTCTAACTCAGTTGGGTCCCAGGCCATAGGGACATTGAGGGAAATTATATAGCAGACGAGCTGGCAAGACAGGGTACCACTACCTTTTCTTCCAGACAGAAAGTGTCGGTATACCGATGGCCAGCTGCAAACTTTAAGTTAGGAACCACTTTGAATTTGTCGCAAATCAAATTTGGACCAACGATACAGAATCCCACAAAATAACACTTTTAGCTTGGCCCTTTCGCAACAAAAAGCGCTCTTTAGAACTCTGCAAACTTAGCAGAAACCAATGCTCAACCGTAATAAGAGCCATCACTGGGCCCTGGTTGGTTGGCACCCATGCCGCCAAACTAGGGTTCTACCATAACGACTTCTGTAGAAGAGGAGGAAACTGTAACTCACCTCTTCTGCGACTGCCCAGCCCTATTATGGAGAATACAGCGCTTTCTAGAGGTATGCTTCCTCCCAAAAATTTATCGGCACTATCCTTAAGGAAGCCGAGGAAAATTTTTAAATTGATCCAGGCATCTGGATGAAGTTAACACATGCGACATCCAGATAACCACGGGAAAATGGGAAGTGGACTAGTCCACGCGGTATCACAATGGGCCAACTCTAGGGCCTAAGTGAGCCAGGGTACTTCACCCTGACCGCGGCATCTACCTAACCTAACCTAATTACATAACATTAATTTTTTTTTTTCGGATGGTACAGAGTATTTAAGAGTTGAGCCCGTTCGACTTTAGCATTCCTTTCTTGTTTTATAATTGTCCTATCCAGTAAAGATCTTAAACAAAGACAAGAAAGGAGTGCTAGAATCCAGCGGGCTCAACTTTTAAATACCTTGTACCCACTGCCATTAAAAAGAAAAATATATAAAAACATATTTTAAGAATTAATGTAATAAAATAAAATAAATTAAATTAAATAAAAACAAGTGGAGAAGCTAAAGTCAGATGTACGAACGAAATACTTTGTTCACAAAACTGAACAAGAGCTCAGGAGTCAGCATAGGGAACACAATAAGTAGGTAGGCTAAGCAAAATCTCGGTTTAAAAATAGATAGCAAGGAATGCATATGGAGCGACAGCGGTTAAGGGTGGGTGCGCAATGAACTAGATAAGAAATGCTTCAAATACATATGGAGGAGAAAACCACTTGACACGATTAGGATATAATAAGACCAAAAATGTAAAATTAGAGTAAGTACAATGTTAAGAGAATAAGAAAGAGTCAAATACTAAATGATTAGTACATAAGAAACAGGAGAGAACGCTACAGTCGAGCAAGTAAAGTAAAATAGCCTGTACTCTCCACAAAAAAGGAAAATTAAAAAAAAAGACAATTTTAATTATTTAAAAAAAATTTAATTAATTAATTAAATTAATAAAGAAAATGAATTTAATACATACATAGAAGACATGTTTTTGTACAGTTTTAACAGCATACATTTATGTGTGTTTATATGCGTGAATGTATGCAGCACAAATTTGAACCAAAGCAGCAACAACAACAACAGCTGCGGGCAGAGCTACAAGCAGAGCATAAGCAGCGATTTGATTTATGGCTATAACTTTCTTTAGAATTGACCTATCATGATGAAACTTGGCACACGGACCCTGGATGTAACTACCAAAATTGATTTCGAAATTCCAAGAATTACGGGATTTATAAAAAACAAGAAAAAGGCTAAAGTCGGGTGTCCCGACTTTGAAATACTCTGTATATATGTTTAGAATAATTATAGAAGTTAAAAAAACTAAGAGAATAAAAAACAAGTAAAAAAGCTAAAGTCGGGTGTCTCGACTTTGAAATACTCTGTACATATGTTTAGAATAATTATAGAAATTAAAAAAAAGTAAGATAATTAGAAAAAAAAATTTGTTATCGATTTTACCTCTTTTGGTATTCGAACTCACGTAAAGGGCGTACAATTGCATATATACAAAGCAATTGCGTCTATGTGAGTGTATGTATGTTTATGCGCGTCTATTCGTGTCTGTGTAAGCATGTTCGCAGTCAACCAAAGCAACAGCATCAACAACAGCCGCGGGCAGCGCTGCAGAAGCAAATATATTTATGGCAATAAATTCTTGTTAAATCGGTCTGTCATGATAAAACTTGGCATAGGGGTACATAATTACTAACGGGGGCTATGGGCAAAATTTTAGTTGAATTCTAAGAGTTATGGAAGTTAGAGAAAATCGCGATTTGCTTGGGAAAGGGGGGAGTGAGGGAAATTCCAAAGTGCACATTTTCTGCGTATTCATATAAGGCATGTGGGACCTTGGTGTTCCTAGGTCTTATAGTCTCTGAGATATTGGCGATTATACGAATAGAAAATCGGGAAAACGCCCATAGGGGGAAAGTGTGGGGGGAAATCAAAAAAATAAAACAAACTTGCAAAGCGTACACAAATAAGGCATCTTTGTGCAAAATTTGGTGTCTCTAGCTCTTATAGTCTCTGAGATCCAGGTGTTTATACGGACGGACGGACAGACAGGGCTAGATCGACTCGTCTCGTCATGCTGATCAAGAATATATATACTTTGTGGGGTTCAGCCACGCCTCCTTCTGCCTGTTACATTTTTCAGCTCGCGCAAAACTAATATACTCTTCTACATTTCATGTACCGAGTATAACAAGTGGAAAAGCTTACCGACTTTAGCTTCTTCAATTGGTTTACCCTGTACCCAAAAAGTGAAAGGGTATACTAGTTTTGTGCGAATGTATGTAACACACAGAAGGAGGCGTGGCAGACCCCACATTATTGATCAGTATGAGAAGACGAGTCTGTCTGTATGAACGCAAGGATCTGAGCAAGTACAAGAGCTACAATAACCAAACTTGGTATTCAGGTTCTCCTGAGCCCTAAGCAGATCAAGTTTGTTTATTTTTTCTTATATGCACCCCACTCCCCCGCAATTCATGTTTTTACCATAACTCTCGTAATTTTTGGATTTTGTACACAGATTTGGCAAACATCTCCAACTAGAGATATTAGTGATAATGAGTCCGAATGCCATTTCATTATGATATGTCGATTTGAAAGGAAGTTATAGCCATAAACTTAATCTCTGCCGAAGCTCTGCCGGCAGCTGTTGTTGTTGCGTTGACTTCTCTTTACAACATACAATCACGAATAGACACGATTCTGATATAAATATATGCTGTTCAAATTGTACAGAAATACTTATGTGTGTATGCCTAAGCTCTGCCCGCAGCTGTTGTTGTTGTTGCTGCTTTGGCTTAACTTTGTACTGCATACATGAACACACACACACAGACACGAATAGACACGCATAGACTCACATTGATTAACTGACGTAGTACTTTTAAAAATGTATGTGTGTATGAGCAGCATCTTTTGAATGCCTGTTATCAGAACCGTACAGCCAACAAGCACGTGCCAAGAACCATCTCCATACTTTATCGCCCCATATCTCTCGGTCCCCATTTGAACACATATATATTATATATACATACATATATGCATATGATAAAAAAGATAAGGAAACAGCAATGATTAAAGATATTCGAATCAAACGACACATAAAGATACAACCACTGCATCAGTTTCTTTTCTTTTCATTATCAATGATGTTAAATTTTTTGTCTCTCCGATTTATTGATAATAAAAAAACCGAAGTGCTTTTATTTTTGGTTGCGGCATGGAATCTAAGCTATTCTGAAGTTAATATGCTAGATGTTGTAGAAACAAAGGCAAGTGGGGACTTAAGAGTTTTTTGTGTCTACACGAAATCAACATACTATATAATACATATTTGTGTCTGTTCTGAACATCTAGATAAAAGAGTGTAAAGAAACTGAAATAAAAACTCCAAGCGGAAATGCATATTGGAAATACAGAGGTCTACGTTTTTCTACATCTGAAGGTGTACTATGTTGGAAAGAGAATGAAACGCTACTATTTCGGGAATGTAACACGCACAGCGGGCGCTGGTTGCCAGAGTCTGTCACTTGCAAAACGAGAGACGAACCTAATACATTCTGTCCGAATGACCTTTTGGAAATAATGATGAGGAATGACAACCCAGTATGTCTAAAAATTTCTCCACACCCTCATCAGTACGACGATGCCTATTGCCACGGCTCAAATGTTATTATTCCCCTTGATTTATCTGTACCTGATTCTGATCTATCCATCGCCGTTACAAAGTTTTTGTCTAGTAAAGGCATAAACCGATTTTGGCTGCCTCTTAAACGAAATGACACCCTACCTCTATACAAAGTTCGTTTACCAGGAACCCGATGGAGTGAAATATTTGAAGGAAGTATAGAAATTGCTGACCTAAGATCTAATAAAAACTGTCTATCTACGATAGTTGTTCATAATCAGAAAAACAACAGTCACCAAAACAGGCACACACAATTTATCAATGAAGTGACTCACTGCAATGAGCTTATTCACTCGGTTTGTATATTCCGGAAAAAACTTTTGTCTCGTACGGGCTGTAAGGAAAATTTTGGAGCGCTAAGCTATCGACCAGCAGAATGTTATGGGTTGGAGTGGAATCATAAAAGTAGGTCTCGCTCAATCAATGCACTAAATGTTAATAATTTTTTTGAAAAACGCAACGTTCTTCAACTTATATTTCGAGACCTTATATCAAAGTCCAGAAGAAACGAGTTTTTTGAAGTTGAAAGTTTTGCAGATGAAGCGGATAAGGTCTATGTAGTGTTAATGAACCGAAAAGAAGAGTTCAAGATCTTACATAAAAACAACGATAATGAATTTCCTTTGATTAGTGAAGAAATTGTTCCCATTACAAATAATTTGGTGACAATGATTTTAAAATTTAATGTTGAATTACAACAGCTCGTCTTAATAGTTTATAACAGTCGGTTCATTTGGCGCATAGAAGAGGATGATGAGAATGAAGGTATTCGATGTTTTACCAATGCCGATTATAAACTCCTTAGCAGAGTCAAAATTGATCATATATGGGAAAATGATGACAAGACAAAATCAATTTTCAAATTGAAAGTGGAGGCAGATGACCCTGGAGAGTATTGGTGTGAAGCCCATACAATATTCAACTTTGATCTAATAAGCTCTCAAAAAGTAGTTGCTAGCAAGATCCGAAGAGGCCATGCCTTTGCCATGCAGTTTGATGTTCCTTGCCATGTTTCTAAAAATCAGGAAAACTTGTGTACAAATTTTCACCGTAATGCCAAAAAACTTTCTAAGAATGTGCTTAGGCTATTTCGCAAAGATATGCTATTAGAACCAAAATCTTTTCATGATTTGGTTATACATAATGTTCGGATTATGAAACTGCAGTATTTCTCTATGGAAAGCGTAAATTGTTGGATTCATGTAACAGCATCACTTAGAACATCTGCTGTGGATAATAGTGAGGAGGAGAGCAGTGAAGAGAATAACAGCCTAGAAGACAGTGACCGCATTAGACATGATACTTCAATACGTATGCGTGTTTGGCAATTGATAACTAAATTAGTATTACAGCGAAATGTTCAAATCGTACGCAGCACAGAATATTGTTTTCCAGAACGGTTTTATATGAACGGCAATGTTAAAAATCAATGGTTACAATCAAATCGGGGACAGGTAGCCACAACTTTATTTCTGTGCCTTCTGAAAAACGGCATGCCACAAACGCGTCTTTGCAAAGGTGATTTTATTGAAGGTGCCTATTGGAAAGATATAATGCAACCTATTTTCTGTGAGTTAAATCTAAAAGGTACAGAAATAACAGCGCGCCTCCATAATTTGGAAAACTTTAATTTAAAACAACCTGGGTGGCTGGCAAGAGATATCAAAAACATAATTAAAGGACGCCTTGACAAGATTGTATCAGCTGATTTGTACTTGATTTCAAAAATAATGCAAGAATCTGTAAAATACATCACTCATTTAATTGATGATCAATTTCGAAATGCAACTACCAGTCTCACAGAAACTATTTTTGAAGAGACTCGTAAAAGCAATAATACTATATTGACAGAAACTGTTTGTAATTTTATTGACATCTACAATTATTTAATGAATGTTAAGCTAAGCACATTTAAGGAATCACTTAAACTGAATTCTACTAACAGACTGTTAGAGGCTTTTGAAAAAACAATTGATAAGGTGACATCTGTACGTAGCTATGAGGAAAATATCTGGCCAAATGATTTAAAAAATGAAAATGACCTTGAGTTTTCTGACTATGTGGATATTGGAGTCTCTGTGACTTCATCAAATAATTTCTTATGCTTTGTAATAGACCCTTTAGTATCAAATATTTCAGGGGTAGCAATATTTCAAGATGCTGAGTCTCAAGAACCTTCCGAAATGTTAACTGGTGCCTTTAAGCACGAATATTATCGTTTTTTGCAAGCAAACCATACTTATGAAGACTTTGTGAATGACCCTCATTTACAAATGGGCACTTTTATACCAGATAAGCTCCTAAATCGCCTAAATGAAATCTCAGAAATGTTGAATGTAACGCAAAAGCGTAGCCCCGTTATTATCATCAAAATTTACTCCAGTGATAGACTCTTTCAAGAACTTTCTACTAAGAAACAGATTGTTTCTGGTCGTATCGTATCCATATCTATTCCTGGCTTTAATACTGAACTACCAGATATTGTCCCTATTGCATTACATGTATCGCCCGACGAAGCAAAGAATAAAAATGACTCGATTGAGTTGTGCCATTATTGGAATTTTCGTAATTGGGTAACTGATGGTATAACATTTTTAGGGAAATATGGGGACAAAAACAATATTATTCTTTGTGGTTGCAGCCACCTAACACCATTTGCATATTTAGTTGGAGGAGGCCCCAACATTTCTATAGATGTTAGCCTGGGGGCAAGCTATAGTAAAATTCATGAAAAGGCGTTGGATGTAATTACAATAGTGGGCTGTTCATTATCGCTGATGGGTATATCTGGAATCTTAATCACGGCTGTACTTTTCTCATCTTGGCGCCGAAAAGCTTCATCAAAAGTGCTAATACAACTGGCCCTTGGTATAGCACTTCAAATGATAATAATTTTAGTTATTGAAGAACCCTCGCTCCATTTTGTTATAAACAAAATATTGCCCAGTTGTATTGTAATTGGCGCTTGTCTACATTACAGTGTTCTTGTGCAGTTTTTTTGGATAATGATTATTGCATATTTACAATTTCAACGTTACGTTCAAGTATTTGCTCAAAACCGCCCAAAACGATTTTTTATGAAATCAACTATTTTCTGTTGGGGCTTGCCGCTTATACCCGTAGTGCTTGTAATTTTGTTCGATAAAGAGACTTTTGTAAAAGGAAAAATCTGTTATCCATCTGGATATGCATTGTATTTTGGAATAATTGCTCCTATTGCTATCATAATAATGGCGAATTTTATTATATACTGCCTTGTTATATATAATATAACACGAGGACCTGGTTCTCAGATACGTCGTACTGATAAAAGTATATTGGTATCGCAGATCCGGCTCTCGGTGCTTCTGTTTTTTTTATTGGGACTAACGTGGGGCTTCGGGTTACTTTCAATAATGAAAATTGGCTTAGTTTTCTCATATTTATTTTGCCTCACAGCTACATTACAGGGATTTGTTATGTTTGTCTATTTTATCATTCTGGATCCTGTTACTAGACGGTTTTGGATCAATCGGCTTAGTCAATTATTTGGAGTTAGAAAATTTGAGTTTCAAAGCGCAACCAGCTCGAAAGATACCACCCAAACATCTCAGCAACTTTGAAAGAGTTTTTTCACTTTTTATCCAATTTTTTAAATCAACCCTACCATTATTATTAATAATATTTCATCTGTGAAAAAAAAAGTAAAACAACGATATATCTTGAGATTGAAATAGCAATATGTAATAAAAATATAAAACAAGTCTGTCTGCCTGTTTATATATATAGTATATACTTCTATTATTTCTTGTTCTTCTTTCGAATTGAAGTTAAATTTTAAATTGTATTAAGTATATGAATTACATAATTGAATGATAAAATTGTTTCCTGCAGTATATTTACGTAAGATCGTACATGGTAAATATTATTGTTATTGTTAAGTTAGTTTTTGTTATTATTGTTGTACATATTTTTCATATTGAAGTTAATATTTTATGTATTTATATATATATAGTTATATATATATATATATATATATATATATATATATATATGTGTGTATAATTGTATATATATATAGCTTCAATATGAAAATCTACTGGACCGATTTAATGGATTTTTGCACTTGGGATGCTACACTATCGACGGTTAACATGGGCTATATTATATTTGCAAAAAAGTATGAAATCCTTACTAAAACGGCAATAATGTAACCAAAGGTGTAAACAAATTTCATTAAAAAACTCCTGCATAGCATGTTGTTAGTTCATAATCATCATCGAAACATTGTCACTTTAAATATTAAGGCAATTTTATTCAGAAGCCCTCAGCCAAATTAAAAAACAAGTAAAAAAGCTAAAGTCGGGTGTCCCGACTTTGAAATACTCTGTACATATGTTTATAATAATTATAGAAAATAAAAAAAAATAAGAAAAAAAAAAATTGATCGATTTTACCTCTCTCGGTATTCGAACTCACGTAAAGGGTGTAAAATTGCCCATTTACATAGCAATTGCGTCTGTGTGAGTGTATGTATGCCTATTCGCATCTATTCGTGTCTGTGTAAACATGTGTGCAGTCAACCAAAGCACCAGCATCAACAGCCGCGGGCAGCGCTGCAGCAGCAAATATATTTATGGATATAACTTCTTGTTAAATCGGTCTATCATAGTGAAACTTGGCATACGGACACATAATAACCAACTGGGGGTATTTGTTAAATTTTAGTTCGAAATTCCAAGAATTACGGGAGTTAGAGAAAATCGCGATTTGCAGGGGAGAGGGGGGAGGGAGGGAAATTCCAAAATATACATTTTCTGCGTATTCACACAAGGCATCTGGGACTAAAATTTTGTGTTCCTAGGTCTTATAGTCTCTGAGATATAGGCGATTATACGAATGGAAAATCGGGAAAACCCCCATAGGGGGGAAGTGGGGGGGAAAATCAAAAAAATAAAACAAACTCGTATAGAATACACACATAAGGCATCTTTGTGGAAAATTTGGTGTCTCTATCTCTTATAGTCTCTGAGATCCAGATGTTCATACGGACGGACAGACGGACAGACAGACAGACAGGGCTAGATCGACTCGTCTCGTGATGTTGATCAAGAATATATATACTTTGTGGGGTCTGCCACGCCTCCTTCTGCCTGTTACATTTTTCAGCTCCCGCAAACCTAATATACTTCTGTACATTTCATGTACAGAGTATAATTACAAATAGATCGAAACCGTGATTAATATTGAAGACATTTAAATTCACTAAACCCTTCTGGACTGCCACCACATGAATTGACGGTAAAATTCGGAATTGCAATCATGCTTTTGAGAAATTAAAGCCTTCCAAGCATGTGCAATGGGACGAGGCTGCTTATTAAGGAATTGCAGGACAATTTAAGTGTAGCAACTATTATCAACGGCCCAGAAACTGGTAAACTAGCTCATATAACGAGGATACCTACAATACCCATGATTCCATTTGATCATTTATATGGCTTAAATTTCGGGTTGTCCCAAGGCCAAGTCTTCGAATTAGTAGGGATCGACATACGAAAGCAATGTTTTACGATATGTTGACCTATCACGGGTCGGAGCTCCTGAAAATCAATTTATTTTCTACCACAAAATAAAATATCAAATATCTTTAACAGAGAACGTCTGACCTATTAAAGAATAACAAAACAAGAAAGGAATGCTAAGGTCGAGCAGGCTCAACTCTTAAATACCCTGTACCACCCCACCAAAAAAAAAAAAAAAATTATTAAACAAATTTTATTAATTAATTAAATTAAATATAAAATATTCAATACATGCATACATACATTTACATCAGAATCGTGTATATTCGTGTTGGTGTACTTGTATGTGTACATTGGGCCTGGTTATATGGCTATAACTTTCTTTCTAATCATCCTATCATAATGAAACTTGGTATACGGATACATAATTTGTTTTTACACGGTTGTTTCTGGAACCAATCTAGCGTCTAAAAACAGGATTAGGTGTATACTCTTGTACATTTCCAGTACAGAGTATAAAAAGTAACAAAACGTTTAAAGGTAACAGCTGGCGCTTCATCTTTGTGCTCGCTCGCCTGCACAAAAGGGTATATTAGATTTGTGCGAGTGTACACACATTTATGTGCGCCTGTTACCATGCTATTGGTGTACTTGAAAAACGTGCGTATTCACATATGCCATGTGGGACTAAAATATGGTGTCCGTAGGTCTTATAGTCTCCAAGATTATACGAATGGAAAATCGGGAAAACCCCCATAGGGGGGAAGTAGGGGGGAAAATCAAAAAAAATAAAACAAACTTGCACAGCATACACGCATAACGCGTCTTTGTGCAAAGTTTTGTGTCTCTACCTCTTATAGTCTCTGAGATCCAGGTGTTCATACGGACACGCGGACAGACAGGGCTAGATCGACTCGTCTCGTCATGCTGATCAAGAATATACATACTTTGTTACATTTTCAGCTCCCGCAAACCTAATATACTCTTGTACATTTTATGTACAGAGTATAATCACCGGTAGAGCTATAAGTTATTTCTATGGAAAAAGTATCAACACACGCACTATGTGTATTTTGTTTTTGCATCAAGCTGCTTGTGAGCCTGACTGGCGCCACTTGTGTTACAGAATAGATTGTCGTTCGAGCCTGCAAAGCCCTGAAGTAAGAAGTTACACTTCAATAAAAAAATCCAGTAACTACAGATGGAAAAACATCTCCAGCGAATTTTGATCACAAGCCAGCAGTAGTAAGTGAAAGCTGATCAATATAGTTTGGAAGTGGAGCGCTCAATTTTTCTTTCTGATTCGCGATATAGTAAGTAAATACGTAGTATACATTGAGGTTGGCTCCTAAGTATATGCAATATGAAAATAAAAATCATGCTTAACTGGAATTTTCGCAATTAGGAAACTGATGGTGTAACTATTTTAGGGAAACATGGGGTAGAAATCATATTATTCTTTATGGTTGCAGCCACCTATTTCATATTTAGTTGGAAGAGGTCTTAACATTTCTATAGATGTTCGACTGGGGGCAAATATTGGATGAAATTACAATAGTTCATTATCGCTGATGGACAAGCTTCATAAAAAGTGTTAATATAACTGGCACTCACATAATAATTATTTTAATTATTGAAGAACCTTCGCCTTATGTGTGTACGGTAACGCCGTTCAAAAAAATCATCAATGTCTCGGACTCTATAGGACCTAGAGACACCTATCTTTAGTCCAAGAAGCTTTGAATACGCAGAAAATGTTTTTTTTTTCCTCCCTGTCCTCTCTTCACCGCAAGTTAGTTATTATGAGACCGAATGCGAAGCTTCATCATGATAAGTTGATTATAAAGGAAGTTATAGCATTATATGTTCTCTCTGCCCAAGCGCTGCCCGCACCTGTTGTTGTTTCTGGTTTGGTTCTACTTTGTACTACATACAAGTTAATTTCCGAGATTTTGTGTATTGGGCCAGTGCAAGCCGGTGCAACCACATCGGAGCGTTGACCCAAGTGCTTTAAATGTTGTTATTGTTATCATACATGCTGACACACAGACAAACTTACATATATTATTGATCAGCATGTCGAGACGAGTCGATCTAGCCCTGTCTGTCTATCTGTCCGTCCGGATGAACACCTGGATCTCAGAGACT